ACTGAGTTTGATATTGTTCTGAGTTTCCTTCTTCTTTTCTTCTTGTGAGCTTTTGGGTATATTGTCTTACAAGGGCTTTGTATTCTTCTTGGATTGGGTTAATCCTTGAAGGGGTTGAGTGAGTTGAGATTCACTTGTAAGGGTTTAATCTTGCACCCGTAAGCAAGAGTTTGTTCCGGTTTAATCTTGCACCCGTAAGCAAGAGATTTTTAGTGGATTGAACTCTCGAGCAAGGAGACTTGGGGAGTGGACGTACTCCGGGTTGGAGGAACCACTATAAATCACGGCTTGATTTTCTCTTTCCTCTCTTTTATTTTTCTGCATTATATTACTCTTGTTTGTTCTGTACAACAGCTTATAAATTGCAAATTTGATTTAAGTCTTGAAAGAAAAAGAAACAAGTTTTTAAGTGTAAATTGATAAGACCCAATTCAACCCCCTTCTTGGGTAACTAGCTGGGATTACAATTGGTATCAGAGCAGGTTCTCTTAGAAATAGGTTTAACAATCTTGAGTAGATCCATGACTTTCCAAGCTCATTTTGTTGAAGGTCATTCAATCACTAGGCCACCTTATTTTGATGGAACAAATTACCAATACTGGAAAAATAGGATGCAAATTTGGTTAGAAGCAAATAGCTATGAGATGTGGGATTGCATTGCTAGAGGACCTTATAAAGTATTAGCTAGAGACCAGAATAACCAACTTGTTCCTAAGGATCTTGCATCATATGATCAAGCTGAAAAAAAGAAACTGCAGATAAATGCTCAAGCTAAAAATGCATTGTTCTGTGCTTTACATCCTAGTGAATATGATAGAATTAGTGCATGTGATTCTGCTAAGAAAATGTGGGATAAATTACAAGTGGCTCATGAAGGAACTAATGAAGTCAAGAAATCAAAAATTAACATGTTGGTTCAAAAATATGAGCTATTCAAAATGAAATCAGATGAAGACATTAAAGACATGTTTACTCGTTTTAGCAAAATCACTAATGAATTAAAGCTTTTTGATATGGTGCTTTCGGAGGAAGATAAGGTCAGAAAAATTCTTCGCTTCTTGCCAAAATCCTGGAGCTCAATCAAGATGACAATAGAAGAAGCTCATGATTTAAGTGCCATGACTGTTGAGATGCTACAAGGGAAGCTTCTTACACATGAAATGGCCATGAAAAATGATAAAAGTGATGATGATTCTCGGAAGAAGAAATCTGTAGCTTTCAAAAGCTCCTCCACAAATGAAAGTGACAGTGATGAAAAGGATGATGAAGAATTTATAGTGCTTGCTCGAAAGTTTAAGAGTTTCCTAAAGAAAGACAAGCTGAAGAATCAAGAATAACAAAAGAAAAATTACAAAAGCAGTAAAGGAAAGGGAGAAATCAATAAAAAGAATGAAATTATCTGTTACAAATGTAAGAAGGCTGGACATATTAAATCTGAGTGTCCAAACAATGGTGAAAAAAGTCTAAAAGCCAAAAAGAAAAGAAGGCAATGGTTGCCACATGGAGCTGCAGTGAGGACTCATCTTCTAGTAAAGAAGTAAGTGACATGGAAGCTCATATTTGTCTCATGGCAAATGATGACACAGATGAGGTAAATTCCAATTCTTCTTCTATTTTTTATCATGCTAGTGATGATGAAATGCCATATGAAGATTTGCAAGATACATTTAGCGAATTATATGAGTATACTAAACAAATTAGTGCAAAAAATGCATCTTTAAAAAGGGAAATTTTGTCACTTAGAAAAGAAAACAGTGATTTGAAAGAATCTTTAAATGAGGAAAAGATAATTAGTCAAAATATGAAAATTAACTT